CGGCCTCTCCTCTGGCTGCCGGCGAGCGCCATGGCTGCTGCGCGGCACCCCCAGGTCGGGGAGCTGCTGGCCGAGGCCCGGCAGGCCTTCCGGGAGGAGTTCGGGGCCGAGCCCGAGCTGGCCGTGTCGGCGCCGGGCCGCGTCAACCTCATCGGGGAGCACACGGACTACAACCAGGGCCTGGTGCTGCCCATGGTGAGGGGCTGCGCGGGAGCCCCTGAGCCCGCTGCCGGCCGCTCCGGGCGTCGGGGGCGCGGGCGGGCGCTTTCTCCGCGCAGCTCGGGGGACGGGCAGGCGAGTGTGCGGGACGAGCCCACCGGAAGGACCTGGGGACCCGCCGTTTCCCACGTTGCAAGGGAGGAAGCCGGGAATCGGCGAGGAACAAGCTGGGAGAGGGGGTGCGGACCCCTCTTCGCGTCAGCCGGCCCTCGGGGGGCTGCTGGTCCTCTTCTCTCAGCCTGCAAGCGTGTTCCCTTGAAATGCGGGGTCCTGTTCAGCACGCAGAAGGGGACACTCCGGGCCTCTGGCCACCGTGGGGTCCCAACCACTGACCTGAGCCAACGTAGCCCTCAGCCTCCTGCCCTAGCCCGTTCAGTTTACAGAGGAGGAAACTGAGGCCCCGAGAGGGTTAGTGAACAGCTGAAAGTCACACAACTGGTCCTTGGTGGGGCTGCGACCAGACGAGGGTTCCCAGCTCTCAGCCTGGGGCCCTTTCCGCCCCACAGTGCAGCTTGGGAAGTTAGTGGGTACTGTGCATCCGAGGCCATCCCCAAACGGGAAGGCATCGGAGCTCCTCCGATCCTGCTTTGCCTTTGAACTAGCTCTCTCCCACCTTGCCCTACAGCTCAGGGCAGAGTCCAGGTCTGCACGCTGGCTGCAGCTGGTCCCGCCCCTGAAGCCCCAGTGGGCAGGGCTCGAGCCCCCAAGGCGGAGCTCAGCCCTCAGCTCTTCCCTGAGCCAGCTCCATTCTCTTCAGGTTGAGCCTGGAGAGCATGTCCGTGTCTGTCCCAGGCATCAGAACCTCGGCCTTATTCTTTCAGCTGGCTTATGCTTTACATACTCCTTGTCTCTCCTGCCAGGCATTAGAGCTTGTGACCGTGCTGGTGGGCAGCCCCCGAGCAGACGGGCTTGTCTCTCTTCTCACCACCTCTATGGATGCCGATGAGCCCCGGCGGCTGCAGTTTCCGCTGCCCACAGCCCAGCGGTCGCTGGAGCCTGGGACCCCGCAATGGGCCAACTATGTCAAGGGAGTGATTCAGCACTACCCAGGTATGGGGCCCAGGCCTGGGTCAAGTCCACACTGGTACTAAGAGTGCCATCTCATAGCCACAAAGCCCCTTAATTCATCTAATGCACTGTAGGGAAGGCTTGTAGAGTGGAGCATCCCATTGTACAGATGAGGAAACTGATGCCCCAAGAGGTTCTAGGATTTGCCTGGGATTTCCCATTATATAATTTGAGGAGCCAGGATTCAGACCCCAGCCTGTTGGTCTCCAGAGCCATAAACCAGGAGGACAACTAGGAAAACTGTCCCAACAACTCCAGAGGGTGGGAAGGTGGATGGCGGTGGGCTCCTTGGCCCAACAGGTTGGTAGCCTCTGACAATTGAGACATATGCCCTGGAAGCAGCTGCCAGACAGTTGCCTCCCTCTCTGCCAGGACACGGTCCCTTCCTGTGCCCATCTCCTAGGCAGCTCATCTTACTGTCACTCTCTCTTTCCCCTGAAGCTGCCCCCCTCCCTGGCTTCAGTGCAGTGGTGGTCAGCTCTGTGCCCTTGGGGGGTGGACTATCCAGCTCGGCATCCCTGGAAGTGGCCACGTACACCTTCCTTCAGCAGCTCTGCCCAGGTACGACGTAGGCCCCAGCCCCTGACCCAACCCTCCTTCCCTGAGGTCTCGTTGTGGTCAGAGCTTCTTCTGCTGTGGCTTAGGGAAGGGGGCAGGGGAATCTCCCTGGAGTGTGATTGGAGCTACTGCTGCCCCCCTGCTGGGCCCCAGCCTCCTCACCTCACCCTGTGCCACAGACTCGGGGGCAATAGCTGCCCGGGCCCAGGTGTGTCAGCGGGCTGAGCATAGCTTCGCAGGGGTTCCCTGTGGCATCATGGACCAGCTCATCGCCCTGCTGGGGCAGAACGGCCACGCACTGCTCATTGACTGCAGGTCAGGGGCTTCCCTTGTGCCCTCCCACCTTATGATCAGGAGCTCCTGGGCGGAGTGTGCCCACCGCCTGACATAGCAAGCAGACACTTGGCCTTGTCATCTCTCTCCGTCACTCCAACTCCACTCCAGGTCCCTGGAGACAAGCCTGGTGCCGCTGTCAGACCCCAAGCTGGCTGTGCTCATCACCAACTCCAATGTCCGCCACTCCCTGGGCTCCAGCGAGTACCCCCTGCGGCGGCGCCAGTGTGAAGAAGTGGCCCGGGCGCTGGGCAAAGAGAGCCTTCGGGAGGTGCAGCTGGAGGAGCTCGAGGGTGAGAGCTGGCTGGGCCTCTGTCCTGGAGGTGCTGGGCCCTGATGTGGCCTCCTTGCCTGGCCTTGACCCTGCCATGCACACCAGCTGTCAGGGCCTTCCCCCATGCTCTGCCCACTTCCTCCATCACTGCAGGCCTAGGGCTCCCACCTCAGCAGGGAGGCTCGAAAACTTACAGTTGTTTTACCTAAAAAGAGAATTATGTAAAACGTAGAAAAATACAAAGTAGAAAATAATAAGCCACACCACCCAGAGATAGGCGCCACTGACATTTCCACATATTTCCTTCCAGTGTTTTTCTGCATCTGTGTTTTCTTTTTTTCTTTTTTTAAAGATGACTGGTAAGGGGATCTTAACCCTTGACTTGGTGTTGTCAGCACCACGCTCTCCCAAGTGAGCGAACCAGCCATCCCTATATGGTATCCGAACCTGTGACCTTGGTGTTATCAGCACCGCACTCTCGAGTGAGCCACGGGCCAGCCCCTGCATCTGTGTTTTCAAAGTTGAGGATATGTAATATTGTCACTTGCCCTTTTTTTCTCTTTTTTTCAACCTGACATGACCTCAGAGACATGCCCTTGTTTTACTTAACGTTATCCCTGAACCCTGTCCTATGCAGAAAGGCCCATCATCAACGTGGCTATTTTTTTTTTTTTAAAAAAAAGATGACCGGTTGGGGGCCGAGCCTGTGGCGCACTTGGAGAGTGCGGCGCTGGGAGAGTGCGGCGCTGGGAGCGCAGTAGCGCTCCTGCTGTGGGTTCGGATCCTCTATAGGGATGACCAGTGCACTCACAGCGCTCACTGGCTGAGCGCAGTGCGGCTGGTCTCAAAAAGGACAAAATAATTAATTAATTAATTAATTAATTTAATTTAATTTAATAAAAAGCTCCTAACACGAAAATTTTACTAGATGAGAAAGACTACTTTTCCCAGTAAACAGTCACCATATAATATTGTTACAGTGTCCTAACAACTTAAGTATCTTGTCTTTCTTTCCCATTGGACTGCAAGCATCTTGAATGCAAATATTACCAAATTCATCTCTGTATTCCTAATGCTTAGCACAATAGCTGTTTGATCTTACAGTAGCAGAAAGCCAAAGAAATCCTGTTTTAGTCCGTTTTGTGTTGCTATAACAGAAATACCTGAAACTGGGTAATGTGTAAGGAAAAGAGGTTTATTTGGCTTACGATTCTGGGACAGCTGCATGTGACATGGGCCTCAGGCTGCTTCTACTCATGGTGGAAAGCGGCAGGCAGCTTGAGCACTTTTGACGTCCCTCCTTTCCACCCCGGCCTTTCTGTACGGCTCCTCCGGGCCCCCCTCTACTGAAGGAGCAGTGCTCCCCCTGCCTTCTCCAGAGTCTTGCCCCAGCAGCTCCCCCACTCTCTTGTACCTCCCCTCTTTCCTGTCCTCTGCCTGGCTGCATCCCTCTACCCCCCAAATATGCTCAGTTTTCTTCTCTCCTGAAACATCACCCCCATTATCTCATCTCCATTAACTTCTTAATCCTCTGAATCTGCCTGCCCCTCTACCATGCCACTTGCCATGACAACTCTCTTCAGGGTTCCCACATAAGCCTGTGTATGTGTATTATACCTGGCCCTTGGCTGGTTGCATCCCCACCACCAGGCGTTGTCCTCAGCGCACAGCACCAGCCACCACTGAGGACTGGAACTGGAGCCTGCAGCCCCTAGCTGTCCCAGCTGCAGCCCCACATTTCCTCCTGAGGCCCTGCAGCCTGCACCTGACCCACTCTGAACTCCTCCTCCTTCCTTCCCCCTGGGCTTGTCCTCCCGACTTCCCCTTATCTGTTACTTCCTCAGCCTGCCACTCCTGTTTGAAACCTCAGAGTCACCTGAGTCCTCACTGTCCTCCTTCCATTTAAGCCACCCTCCCACTCTTTTTTTTTTTTCCTTTTTGTCTTTTTTCGTGTCCGGCAACGGATCGCAACCCTCAGTGTCGCGCCTGTACCGGGCCGGGCCCAGCAACGGGATCGCAACTCTCAGTGTCGCACCCGCACCTTGCTCAGCCAGTGAGCGGGAACTGGTCTGTATGTGGGATCCGAACCCTCGGCGGGAGCGCCGTCGCGCTCCCAAGCGGCGCACTGTAGCAGTGCACCACCGGGCTGGTCCCACCCTCCCACTCTTATGTGTGACCCGTCTCCTCCTTTTCCACCTCCCCTCCATCAGGCCCCTCAGCTGCCACCTGGGCCCCTCATGCCCACTTCTCCCAGCCTGGGCCCTCTTGACCAGGGTGGTCCCTTTTGTCTGCTAGAGCTCTGCTCCATCCCTTCCCTGCTCCAAAACCTCTGTGGCACACAGAATTAAGTAGCAAAGTCCCCTGGCACACAGGGCTCTTCCCTCCTCGGCTTTAGCCAGGTGGGACAGCCGTGCCTCCTGATCCTTGGCTGTTCCCTGACCCCTGCTCCAACAACAATGAAAAAAAAAAGGAAAAGCAAGATTTCTTCTTGCTCCTGCTCTGTCTTGGCCTCTTGAGGGCAGCACTGAGTCTGGGGCTTAAGCTGCTCTTTATTGAGCCACCACTGTGTGCCAGCCCCCTGCTGGGAGTCCTACCTGTTATCTCAGGCACCCATTATACAGATGAGGAAGGGAGGCTCAGAGATAAGGGAGCTCATCAAGCCTGAGATAACCAGGCTTGCCCCACCCCATGCCTCCCACCTGTTACTGAATAGGTGCTCAGTAAATAGCTATTGAGTAACTGTGGGCCCCGGCCTGTGGCGGCCCCTTTCCCCACATGCTCTGGGGCCCACAGGCAGTGGGAGGTGGGTCTGCTGACCCCTTTGCTTCTGCAGCTGGCCGAGAGCTGGTAAGCAAGGAGGGCTTCCGGCGGGCACGGCACGTTGTGGGTGAGATCCGGCGTACAGCCCAGGCAGCAGCTGCCCTGAGCCGTGGGGACTACAGAGCCTTCGGCCGCCTCATGGTGGAGAGTCACCATTCACTCAGGTGAGGCCCTCTGCGCGCCTGCACCTCCCAGGCCTGGGCTGGTCCCGTGCCACCCCCTCCTTTATCCTCTCTGCAGGGACGACTATGAGGTGAGCTGCACCGAGCTGGACCAACTGGTAGAAGCCGCGCTCTCTGTGCCCGGGGTTTATGGCAGTCGCATGACTGGTGGTGGCTTTGGTGGCTGCACAGTGACACTGCTGGAGACCACCGCAGCTTCCCGTGCCATGCAGCACATACAGGTGGGTGGTCACCAGAGCCTGGGAGAGCAAGAGAAGTGGATTCCTAGTGTCCTACCCGTCGCTCAGACCCCACCTGCCTCTCCCCAGGAGAAGTACAGCGGTACCGCCACCTTCTACCTCTCCCAAGCGGCTGACGGAGCCAAGGTGCTGCACTTGTGAGGTGCCCCCAGGAAGGCACACAGCGGGGACAGTGCCTGCAGGTGGCAGGTCATGCGGCTCTGTTTCTGGCACCCACCTTCTACATCTGGGTGCTCAATAAACTTGTGCCTCCGACCATGGTACCCACCTGCCTCTAGAGGTGGGTGTGTGCTTGGGTGTCACAATTGCTCCCATACTCCAGGCTGGCACCTCTCAGGCACTGGAAGAATGGACAGGACAGAGCCAAGCAGTAGCAAAATCTTTTATTAAGTGCAAAACAAAGACTTGGTCTTTTGTCGTGCTGGTCCCAGCTCTTTGGTTATAAATGGGTTTGGGTCTGAGGGGTAGGGGGGAAGGCAGAAGGGCCTTCCGGGACCTCTGTCCCTTCATGCCTCCCAGAGGACATCTACCCCCAGCCCTGTGGCCAGAGGCACTGGCCCTGTGATCAGCATTGTGGGTGAGCTGGGCCCCCAAGGGTCCAAGGATAGAGTAGCTGAGGAGATGCTGGAGAGGGGAGGCCAGGAGGGGGCCCAGGTTCCAGGACACTGTGGGGGTGGGAGGGTCAGGTTTGGAAGAACTGTTGGTCCATCTGAGTGCTGAGCGTCCCACTAGTGGTCAGCGTCCGGCTCACAAACTCCTGGGTCACATGCCGGGTGAGGGAGCCACCTGCCTCCAGGTGCTGAGACCCCAGGGTCAGTCCATCTGCAAGTAAGAGGCGTTGAAGGACCCTGTCTGGTTCCCTGCCCTGCTCCCTCTGTTACCTCTGTACTCCCAGGACAGCCAGGATCAGCTGCCCCTTGGTGACTCACCCAGCAGGAAGGGCTCGGTGGTACTGGCATGGGTGGTGGTGACACTGCTATACTCGCCTTGCAGTGGATGCTGGAAGAGCCCGGGGTGGCCTCCCAGCTGCGGGAAGGGGCCTGGAGTGGACAGATGGGCCGGTCAGAGGATAGTGCCAGGAGATGGCATGGCCAGAGAAGGGGTGGGGGCGCCCTACCTCCATCCTGGGACTCGATGGTGATGATGCCCTCACGTTCTGGCCCGAAGCCCTCGGTGGTCCTGGCCTGCACCTTGAACTTGTAGGGCACGTTCTCGCTGAGGCCAGGCACTGTCAGCCGGCTCTCAGGGTTGTCTCCATCCACCCGGAACGTGGTGGCTGGCCCTGAGCAGGAAAGATGCTTTCAGCCTCTGTGGCCCCCTCTCTGCCCCTTCCCCAGCCCCCCACCCCTGGGGCAGGCAGTACCTCCTCCTTGGGCCATCTCGCAGGTCACTAGGTAGCCGAGGATCTCCCCATTGGGCCTCCGCGGCCGCTCCCAGCTCAGCTGCAGTGAGTCTGGGCTCAGGGCAGTGAATACCAGCGGGCCTGGGGCGCTGGGAGTGCTCAAGGTGAAGGCGGAGCCTGGGGCAGCGGAGGGAGAGAGCGGTGTGTGGGCAGGTGGTGGATATGATGGGGCCCCAGTGGGGCGGGGGTGGGCAGCTCACCTGGCAGAGGGCAGAGCGGGCTGTGCGGGTGCACCTGTGATTCAATGGTGATGACACCCTCACGCTCTCGGCCCCAACCCTCCTGGCTCTGGGCCCGCACGCGGAACACGTAGGAGTGGTTGGGCAGGAGGTCTTCCACCACCACTGAAGTCTGGCTGGGGTTGGGGATGTTGAGCCTGCGCAGCTCACCTGGGGGGTGGGGGGGGACAGACAGTAAAGCAGTGTTACTCCCACGCCTAGCCTCATCCCCTCTTCCCTAGGCTGCCATCAAGACCTGGTTGTCACCCAAACAGGCCTAGCTGTGGTTTGGGTCCAGCCTGGGTAAGTATGGCAGGGTTGGTTAGTGAAGTTGTTACACTATACAAGAGACAGGTGGTGCCTGCAGTCCCACCCATGTTCTGGCCAAATCCTGTGCCCTGGCCAGGGGTCTCTGGTCATGCTGCTTCAAGTGTCTGTGCTCACAGAAGTGCCATTTCCCAGTGCCCACAAGGGCCAGCAGAGGGTATGACCAGGAGGGAGGCCCAGGGAGATGGAAGAGGCCTCAGAAGAGAGGAGTTAGTGAAGGAGATTGGTGGGTATGGGGGTATTAGACCCTTTCAGAAAGGCTGGGTGGGGGCCTTAGTGCTCAAGGAACTTGGATGGATTCCTGACAGCCAGGGTGGCCCTGTGTCAACATGGGGCTGGGCCCTGCAGGGCAGTAGCCTCACCGCCATTCAGCAGCTGGTAGTCCACACTGTAGCCCTGCAGCACCTGTTCACACTGTGGCTCCTGCCAGCTCACTTTCAGAGATGTGGGTCCCAGGGCAGAGAACACCAGGCGCGTGGGTGTGTCAGGCACACCTGCAGCCAAGCGGGAGTCTGGAGACAGGAGGCTACAGTCAGCTGGAGAGGCAGGGGCTGGGGTCTCAGGGTGGGAGCCACGGTTCTACTCCCTAACCTCCCTCATTCGCTGGCCTGTCTACACTGCCTGCTGGCCAGGCAGCTCACTCACCCTGCAACACCCTGCCCAGGCTGCCCAGCACCTCCCGCACATCCTCAGAGTGGGTGCGGGCTCTGCCTGTGCTGAGAAAGGGTGAGCACTGTTGAGTCTGCCAGCCCCCCGACCCCACCCCATCACCTCAGCTGGCCTGATCCCTCCTGCCCCAGCCCAGCACCCTGGAAGGGCAGAGGCTGTGTTAGGCATCAGCACTGATGGGGTGGAGGGGGCAGGTGGTTAGGTCCTGTGGGCAGGCAGGGGTCCTGCGGATGGGATGGAGGGTAAAGCGGTGGGCACAGGCAGTGGCTGTGATGGGTGGCTGGATGACAAATGGAGCAGGACAGCCGTGGAGACAGGATGACCACCTCTGTACTACCTGGGCCCCAGGAGGGCGCTGCTGGCTGCCCAGCCAGGATTATAGAGTCTCGCGAGCCCCTGGAGGGGGGGAACCCCTTCATCTGAGCCCGACTCCGAGGCCCCAGGGCCCAGGACAGTGGAAGCCTGCTCCTCCCGTCTTCCCAGATGGGAGGGAGGCCTAGGGCAGGACAAAACAAGAGTGAGCAGGGTCGGGGGCTCCCGCATGTGTGCGTACATGTGTGTGTCTTGGGGGATGGACAATGGGGGACAGCATGCCTGCAGGCCGAGCATTCAGGATCTGGAAAAGAGGTGGCATTAGTGGGAGAGACAAGATTGGCAGAGGTCACTCACCGTGGGAGGAGAGGGAGGTGAGGGTGGAGTAGTCCCTGGGCAGCGTGGCCGAGTGCGAGTGTTCCGTGCGGGTCAGCGAGTGGTAGTCCCGTGTGAGGGTGGAGGATGTGCTCAGCACGCGGTGGGGCAGGTGTGGGCTCAGGTGGGTGCCGTAGACAGTATTGGCTGTGGTCATCCTGTGCAGGGAGTTGGCACTACCCGGGAAGGCAAAGTCCATCCGGCCATTCACCAGGTGCTCTGCAGGGGGAGATGAGGGTCACTGGGTCAGGCCTGTTCCAGACCTAAGCCCCATGGGGCAGGCTGTGGCCCTGGGAATTCCCCAGATTACCTACCCTCTGGGGGCCTTGGAATAAATACAGCCAGTCTCCCTCTAATCAGCAGGGACAGAGGCCACACATGCTTCCACAGCTATGGATGGCCTGAGCACACTGACCCCAGCCGGGGGACTTCATGCCCCTGCAATCGCCCCGCCCTGGGGAGAGCCCAAAGCCCTCCCTCATGTCCCTTGAGGCCCCTGAGGAGTCTGCTTGGGTACCAGGGCCTGCTCGCTGGACAGGACAGACTCATGAAGCTGTATGCCCCCAGCAAGGCAGGCACCCTAGCGGGGATCGCTGTCCCTGGGGGCAGTCCTGCCTCGGGGGTCCCTTGGTTCCGGGGGCCTGCCTCTGCGCAGATGCATGCCGCCCGCCTGGCAGGGCACCTAAATGGGCAGCCTGGCCGAGGCTGGGGCCCTGAGGCTGCGCAAACAGCTGCCCCAGGGTCCCAGCCGCGGGCGGGAGCGAGCCTCGCGGGTGCAGGATCGGGCGTGCCGGGCAGGCCCGTCACCTCCGGGGGGCCGCGGTGTCGCGACG